ATAGTTCTCTTGGGACAAATGTGGCATTCATAATGCATTCCCATATCAACAATAAGCAGTTAAAACATTTGTATAGTATACATTTTTGTTCAAAAAACCACACACTTTACGATGTGGCAAATCTAAGAGGGAGGGTGTAACGCACACCCCCAAAGATATTTGTGCCCCCGAAAAATGTGTTAAGAAAAAGAATACCTATCCATTTCATATTACCTCTTGTTCCTAAGTCCAAAGATCTTACTATTTTCCTATCTAGTCAGCTTGAAGTTCGAGAGAGGCATCTGTTTGCAGTTTAGTGATCTAATAAGCTCTTTCATTAAGCACCGCTTTATGGGCAAGTCAAGTGGAAGAGCACTATGGCAGGGCCTCAACATCAGTGCTGGTTTGAACCGCTCCTCGCCCAGGATTCAGTTGGTAGAACCAAGTCTTATTGGATAAATACTAATAATGGGACCAGTGTACATATCTAGCCTAACTTGACGAAACCGAATCATGTCCTACACCCTTCCATATATGACAGTCAATGTTATTGAATAGTTTCACATAATTTTTATTAATGTTATTCATACATACTGTATATCGACTAATTCACTAAGATTGTTTTAATCATAGATTAGTAGGCCTACTACAATACAGAGTACCTATATGAGAATAATTTTTATTAAAATAAAATTTATTATCAATAGCTACTGTAGGTCATTTGTGTATTTAGCATTCAAAGCTGGCTAATGTGTGACAGGTGCAACACTGTACCTATGGTATGGGAAGCTGTCACCAAAGTACTCCCCCTGCTTAAATCTTCCCTAGAGTACATTCCTATCTCTTATTCACACTAACATTCCAAATCTATCAATTCAGCAATCCTACAGTGTATTATACTTATTGGAAAATTTCATTTTAAACTCCTGCGCCATATCAGTTAACAATGGAAGAGGCTCAGGCTATACAATTAAAAATTATTCATGTGTGTGTGCTGACTTTTTAAATGCATGGCTGACCAATCTTATATAGCTATTTATAAAACATCTTTCACCTACTGTTAGTGTTAACTTTTTATTCAGCCTTAAAATTTTGTATGTTTATTATAATGTTATCAAGTAGGACCTATTATTTATTGTTCAGTATTACTATCATTTTTTATCAATAATATTTATATTTGACAGTTTCTATGCTTTGCAATGCCTGTTGAGAAGAATTTCTGTTTATCCATTCAAAAAAATTATATTTGTACAGTATCTTCTTGTATGTATTACAGTAGGACAGATAATGTCAAATTCTGAAAAACAAAAACCATTTTCCCACAAAGTTGAAATCAGAGCTATCAAATTTATTAAAATATTGACATAAGACAGGAGATGGAAGTGGATAGACAATGAGATGGTTCAGTCTTTATGGGAGGGGTCCTCCAGTGGACTAACACAACCTCACCTTTGTCATGTCAGATTACTATTAGCACTCTTTATTCTAGTGAAAATAAATGCAATATTTTAATATTACACAAGGCCAAACAGTTATATTATTTTTATTATCATTGTATCCTTAATTTTTACTGTTTTTAAATAAAATTGTAATTTATTTTAAAGGAGGATGATAAACTAATAATTTTTTTTGATAGGGCCTTAGATATGAATGTCAACTCTTCATTTTTTTTCTTTAGTTTACACTTACAACTGAAGGAGAGAAACACAAAACATCCAGTTTATATTTACAGCACCTTATGTGAAATTTAACACCAATATCTGCTGCAATACAATTACCTACATAATACTTGGCCTTGATAGGCCACCTTTCCATTGCTCTGGGGGATCTTTCTTTCTAGCATAAATTGCCCAAGGGAAATTGTCTGGCACTTCCAAGCCAGGTGAGAAGATGCAGGAAGTGGTTATGCCAATACAAAGATCATTGACAGCCGTTCAATTAACAATTTATTGCTTACTTGATTTCAAGAACAGTATCAATTACGAATTAAAGAGAAAGGCAATCAAGGAGATCGGATGGTAATCAATAAGCGGTCATTATAAAAGATATTTTGTCAAGTCAAAGGATTGAAGACAAAGTGCAAACAATCTGAAAATTGTGAGAAAAAAAAATGGCATTGTTGAATATTTTTACTGATTATATCATAAAGATTAATATCGTATTATAGTCTATATAACAATGACATATAGGAACAGGCAACACCAAAATGTATTACTAATATGCAACACAATAGATCTTTTGCACTACGCAGTGCAGTTCTTTAAGTTGAGAGATAATGAACCATTGTGTACAGACAAGATGATCTCTGACTGAAGAATAATTAGTTTTATTTTACATGGAAGATAAAAATATAGAGTTGTACTGTTCCTTTTAATCATGTACAACTAGTACTGTATAAGTGTGGTAATATATTTTTTAAATAATTATAAATATGAGTTATTTTGACAATTGTACAGTAGTTTAAGTACAGATGTGTATATTTCTAATGAAGTTACTATCATTAAATATTATAGAAAGAGGCAGGCATGAAATTTCTAGCGCTTAGTAATAGAAATCTGATCAACCCATTAGTGGGCGAAATCTTGTGAAATCAGAAAGGTTTTATTCTACAAAGCTACTCTTGACTCCTTTTGTACTTGAGCTGTAGAACACATTTTAATTCTTTATTGATTTTGCCATCAATAAAATGGTTTCATTTAAGGTTTTACCCCAGGCAACCAAGGTTAGACTATACTATGGGTATGTTCAAACACACGGCGCGAGTCTGGCGTAAGCCTGGCGTAGTGTACGCCTTTGTGTGTGAACTAGGCAGTGGCGTTACTGACGCCACTCACAATGCCACCTCTGTGGCGTTAACGCTACCTGCAGACCCCAGATTAGTTAACGCCACGGAACTAACGCCAGTGATGCTTGAATGATTTGACCTCATTTTAAGAGATTGACCAATCACGATTGCAATAGATTAGTTACTTTGATCTCTTTCCTGTGCTCTCTGTAAATGAAATGGTAAAGGGGTTCTTTTTCTATTGCATTTTACTTAGTTTACAATGTATATCATTTGTTGATTGTGTTTTGTAATATATTTTAACCTATTTAGACTGTCTGTCTATTAAAACCTGCAACACCAACAATTGTTCCACAATGCTAGCTGAAAAATCAGAAGTAAAATTGTTCATTGAAAATACAATAATCATATAAGTTCACTTCGAACAATTCACAGATTTGAAAGTGTTAATGATGCACTGTAAATATTTTACTACAGTTTAAGAACCCGTACATTATTTAAAACTGAAAACTATTACCCCATGGGCCTATATTACTACTAGTTTAACGCCACCGTTAATATAGCGAACACCGTTTGTGTGAACACTTTAGTCGGTGGATTAGATTACGACGGCGTAAGCATCGCCAGTCTTACATCGTATGTGTGAACATACCCTATCTTAAATAACACAAGGCCATAGTTTGGGCACTGCAATTTTTCCACCAACTTCACAGCCAGCATTGAAACTATCTGTCTGAACACAAAGTAGACTTGCCATTTGCAGCAGCCTGCCCAATATGACATCGGCCAATATTATACTGTAGATTTGTACCACATAAACAGTAACAAAAAAAATTAATGATTGTCTGATTATTTTGCTTGTTAATCTTTACTTAAACAATAAAATAAACTAATAAAATATACTATATTGTAAATTCTCTGCTTAGTTAAGCTTATTTACAAACCTGAAATCTGACTGCTCTATGTGACATTTTATTAGCTTGATCTAATTAATACACTAGAAACTCTTGAAACTGAAAGACTAAATTAATTAAGGTGGAAGACTACTGTAGTTAACAAATAGATTTCAAATAAAGACTATCACCACTAATCAAATTATATTATTTCTTTGTAATACCATCATTGCAGTATGTGAGAGTCAATGACAAAGCTGCTACGACAGAGATGGATACAACGGTGGAAATGTTTAATAAACAAGACATCTTAGCTAATGGGTAATGGACAGATGATGTCATTGCAAATTAAGTTCAGGTAATCGGGTGTTTATAAATTAACAAGGCTGCTTTTAACTAGAATAGAAGAGAAACAGCCAAGTCTTGTGGAATCATTTCACAAGACAAAACACTATACACGCAAGATGCTGTCCATATTGTATACAAAACAAAAAGACAGTAACTCCGAAGAGACAGAGACATTTTGAGATTCAACATTTTGATCTATTTGATCATTTTCAAGAATACAGTATACAGGTGGGAAAAGTGTGGCCCTGCACAGACAAGATGCGGCCTGACGGCAATTTTGTTGCGGCCTGTATATAAAGTATATTTTTACGGACCACCAACCAAATTTGGCAAGAAAACTCCATTTTACAGCCCAACACCAAACATCTGAGCATAAAAGTGCTGAGCATAAACATGGTATAAAAGCAGTGTATATGAAGGTTTCTGCAACTGTAATGAACAAGTTGAGTTTTCATATGTCTGCTTGCAGCCCTCAGTGCTGAATAAAATATAGTTTTGGCCTTCTGACCCATTTTATGCCCACCCCTGCTATACTGTACAAATGAGACTTGGCAAAGTTGAGCTGTTTTTAATCATGATTTTAAAAAAATCCTGTTTCTATGATAAGTTGAACCTGAAATGTAACACTTGGTCCAGAACACAAATAACCAATAAGCTATTAGGTATACAGTACAATACAACTTCATCTGTTCATACCTCCATGATCTGTTTTGGTGGAGAAGATGTTGATAGGGATTATGATGCTGATAAAGATGATGCTGATAATGATGATGATGATGGTGATGATGATTATGATTATGATGATGTTGAAAATGATGGTGATGATAAAAACAAAGATGATGGTAATAGTGAACGATGAGGATGATGATGAGGATGATGATTTGATAATGACGATGAAGTTAAGTAATGGTGACTGATAATACTGTAATAAGAAATCTTAATGTTTCTACTTGAACCATGTCCAACAAATCATGTTAATGTTCAGGCAAACTTACCATGTTATAATCAATGCCACTGGATAATGTATGTCTTCGGGGATCTTCACGCCTTCCAGACTTTGGCCTTATCATTATCCCTTGCCCGCTACCTCCATGCAACTTCTCTTTTCCTATTAAATAAAATATAAAAAACACTATTCAAGAACGGGAAAACAATACTGTACACATACACAAATAAAATTTATATTCCAGAGATTGTTTTGTCATTGGCTATCAGAAAAAAATTATTTCAAAATGTGAATTACGTTACTTATTGCTGTTCAGATGTAAAAGAATTTTTATTACCGTAAACTGTTAATGAGATACAGATTTTGAATATTTAAAATGTAGATAATAATTGATACCCATAAATGTAATTGCACTAGCTAAAACAAATGGGAGGGTGGGGGAAAATATTTTTTCTATTGTAAAGAATGCTAGTATTCAAAGGATACAAATATCCTTAAGTATGTGATACAATATACAGAATTTTCTCCAAAAATGAAAGAAATAATTATATATGCGGTACTGTATTGCCATTAATGCTAGAGAATTAACAGTGAAGTCATCAACAAGGAATGCCAAATTGACCAGTAATTATCATTACTAATGGCCTCCTGATAACAACCCTAATGATTTATCAGACATTTACTATTAGATAGGTCAGACTGAAGCATGTTAAAGTGTTTATACTAGGGAGGTAAAACATAGTGGATGATTTAACGAGTGATTAATAATAATTTATAAATTCACTGAGTCATTTGTCATCAGGTGCACATTAGTACTTTTTCTTTCTTTTTCTAAGGCAAAGATAACCAAACCATACTTTATAAGGTGCATAGAGACTGTGTACAGTACAGTTTGCCCTTAAACTCCAAAAAGTCACCCTTGGGACCTAAAAATTTTTGTTGTGACATGAGTCTCCATTTTAGTTTTAGGTTTAGCTTTTGTGTTGAAGGATTGAAGAACGATTGAAAATATTGGTAACAAGATGAAGGAAAACTTCAAATAAAACTGCAGACTTATAAAGCTCAATCTAAAAAAAATACTATAAACGAGACTCATAACATAAAGTCCTGTACAAAAAAAATATTTTTACATAAATGTTCTTTTAATTTTAATGTACTTAAATATAATTTACTTTTACCATTTTGACATTTCTTTAAACCCACTGTATAAGGACCTGGATTTCAATTTTTTTAAATTACAGATATGGTACTTGCTGACCATGCATCAAGTCCAGAGTATTATATTTTTAAAGAATAATGTATTGACTGATGAATTGTTTATAAAGCATTCAGTACTGTTAGTTATATCACATTATTGCAGCTCATTCACACCTAGATGAAATGGTCCCAGCATTTTCTACAGCTGCACTGCACACATGGTTCACACCTAAAACCTACACACGTTACACACAAATATGCAGCTGCCATAATGCACATTATGTCACACTGTATTGTACAGTACAGTATGTGTGTATGTAGTACCGTAAAATTTAGCACTCAAAATCACATGCTAAATTCATTTCTTGGGTTTTAGACAGCACCTTATTCATGTAAAAAGTTTGGAACAGGCCCTTGGGGACCACAGCAGTTGCAAACCACCCTGGTACACTTTTTTTTACAACACTGAGGCTGAAAATGCTTAAAAATTAAGAACAAAATAAGTACAAATTCAAGCTGAGAAAAAAATTTCAAAATGAGCTTTTTTATAAAAAAAGAAAGAAAACCAACAAAACTTCTCAGTACCTTATTTGCAATAGGCATGGCTATGTGACACCCTCTACAGTTTAATACAGTGCAGTATCATAACATGTAATGTATAGCTGTACAATAATAATTTTCTAGTTTGAAAAGTGTTTAAAAATATTAAGAACACAAGACAATTTTGAGCTTGAAATTTGCTAAAAAAAAAAATTAGAGCACTAAGCCTGGGCAATTTTACTGGTTCATATAAAAAAAAGTGTAGTATCGAGGAGAACCTCCTGCTTGTTTCTGAAGAGACTGTGCCTTCATTAACATGCACATGGGCCGTGTTCTGTTGTGTTGTGCAAAGACCGCTTTGCGATGATCTGTACGCCAGCCTCCCTATTCTTACACACTTACTTACTGTAATTCAATAGACCTTACAATCCGAAGGATTCTGTATGCAGCTTTTTACACAATCAATTTTAGCTGGTCTGCATTTTACTTTATCAGAAGAGTTTAATCCAAGAGTTATTCAGTCTAGGGGTTGTTTTATTCATCTTAACTTTTCTGATTGATTGAATTACATGTGAAGTGCTTTGTATAAACTTACAAATATATTCAGAAAAACTACCAACTCAGAGTTTTCATGAATTATTCATCTAAAAATTCCATGAATTAATTATGCTAATTTCAAACATTCATAATATTATATTATGCTGTATCAATCAAATGTGCCACCGCTCTTTCTCCATCTTATTGATCTAATCACTAGTGATTTTCTATGAACAATATTCAGGTCCACGATAAGCAGGATTTGACATAAAAAATAAACAATAAACAACCATATTACTGTAATACTGCAAAAGTATTATACAGATTTCCAAAATAGAAATAAACAGTTTCATTAGCACTTTCCTTCAGCTGTCACAGTGACAGGGGTAACAGTCATGTAATCACGGTCCATTGACTCCAGTGATTGTTCCTAACAAGCTGTATGGAACCTAATGAGGTTGAAACAAGTAAAAACTAATTGTTTTTAGATGGATTCATGCAGTTTGTTTCATATTACGCAGACTACAAATGAAAAATGACAACTTATTATCTTGTCCTTGGACCCTGTGCACCCCTACATTCCTTTCTATTGTTCTCATTAATTAGGATTTTTTAGCTATGACATCATCCTCAATCACATTTAAATTTTTTAGGCAGGAAACAATACTACTGTAGAGTAGATTGTAGGTACAGCAG